TCTTTCCCTTTTCTGGAAATAAGCTAACTAAAAGCTCCTCTCCTTTAGGACCGGGACAGAACAAAGCTGTCCCAAACTTCTTGATCTCTCTGACAAGTTTGCCTACGCTCATAAACTACAGAGAAGATAGAAAACTTGGAGCTCTTACGTTCTGATTAGTGTGGTGTTTCTCCTCTCGTTCAGCTGGCAGTGCTTCTACCTTTTTCATTTGGGCTTCGTTGTTCGACTTCTCCTCCGTACCTCTCTGCTTTTTATTTTCTTCTCAGTTTCTGCTTTGATTATAGGAATGTTGAACTGTTCTCTTTTGAAGTGCTTCCATAGACAGCACTGCAGACAGGATTTCATCTTTCTCTCACTTGCAGCTAAGGCTCCTTGCTTTCCCATGTCTGCCACCATCTTCCATATCTCACTTGTCTGGCCTCCTTGGGTTACTCAAGAAGGGGTGGAGAAGCCGGTTTAAGCATCCTAAGTAAGACTGTGGACAGAGGTCCTTTTCCAGACCCAGAAATCGTTACCAGCTGCTGATTGCCCTCTGTGCTGATAACTCATACAAATGTTTCTAAATCCACTTCAAGCATAAATGGGTCGGTCTGATTCAGGCAAATAGCACAAACCTTGCAGAGTAACCTGAAGCCAAGCAGGGAACGTGGACACGGACTGTTGTGCCAGTAGGTAACTTCATCTGCTAGAAGGTCTGGGTGCAGAACGAGGATGCTCTTCCATGTCAAGGAGAGTCGCTAAATTTTGGGGGGTTTTATATAGTTTTTTATCATCTTGGAGAATTTGGATAGGGGATAAAAGTGTGTGTAGAAGTCTCGAATTTTTCAGCAAAGTTAAAATCACATGGAGAGAAGGGCAGGGTCAGGAAGCTTGTGGGTTGGGAGCAACTTGGCGAATGACCCTTCTAAGATAGTCTGGTCTGTTGGATTCTGCACATATATATGAATTTAAATAGAAGTGAAAAAGCAGTCTCAGTATCTATGGGGTCCGCTTTGGTTTTTCGTGTTATCCCTTTTGCACCTGTATGGGAGAAAACCTCTTAGCAGGAGGGAGCTGCAGGAAGATGGGCTGGGATACAGAAATGTGGAATTGCACTTTTCTTTGTGTTTTGTCTGTTCTTTAATTATTAGCCAAGAAAAGAATGAAATGTTGGTGCGTTGTTGGACTGTAAGCCATTCTCCAGTTGCTCTGCTTTTCGATGTTCAAAATTTGAGAGCCTTCGTTTTAATGCAAGAAATCCAAACCTGCATTATCATAAATGCAGTGATGTTTTTCTTTCCCCATGCGAATCAAAGCCTTTGGTTAATAACGAGTTTATTTGAGGGTTACAAAGGAGAAGTGGAAAATGGGACATCTTGTCTGCAAGAGATTAATTTCCTTTTCCATTGTGCGTAGCCAATTGGCAGCCAGTGTCAAGCTAGTTCCATCCTAAGCTAATGTTTTCCAGCTGGACAGTATTAGAACCGTGTTTTCAATTAGTATTTTTCCTGGGGTACTTAGAAGTAATAGAAAGTGATTTACCTGCAGGGAAACTATTCATATTACAGTCTGCAGCTAGGCAACACGTAACTAGCTGCTTTGGTTTATTTCCCACTCAACAAACAGCCAGTGGATGACAAATCTACCACTAAATTTGCTTAGTTATTACAAAATCCGTTGGATTTTTTCTGCAGCTTTTTGTGCATTCTGAGGTGATGGCTATCGCAATTTTTTTCTAAGAGTATTTAATGTCTCTGAGTATCTGGGACTCATCCAAGTGTCCGAACTGCTGTTACTCTAATGCAGGCCTTTTTGGGTCGTGTTATCTAATTAATCTAAGTTTTGTAGTCCCCTGCAGTGATTTTGAGAAGAAGCTTTCCTGAAAGAATTTGGAAAGTTTATAATTTTGACATTAATTTCCAGATATCTTGAAGCTGGTAAAGGCACAAAGTTAATGCTTGTAGATTCTTGGGAAAAAACACATACATAGCATAGCAAGGAAACGCTTAGCTTGAGCAAAACACCTACAGGATCAACAAGAAAATTGTTGCATTAGAAAACTTATCCTTAAGTCGGAAAAAAATTGTCTTGGAAGCTTTTAGAGGATTTCAGAATACTCTTGTAAAACGGAGCATTTGCCTAGTCAAGCTGGTCTGCAGAGCAGCCTTTGCTGTGCTGTGTTTAGGGATCCAACATGCGAAGCCTGTACTAAGAGGTGATTATTTTTGTATCCGTGATCGACAGGCTGTTCACATCTATAGTTCCCTAAATGGAGTGAGAGAAGTATTTGGTGAGTAAAATCCTTCTGAAGTTCATTTAGCATGTTCTGTACCTTCATGCCGATGTGCATTTAATTCTGCTGCGTTAAGCTTCTGAGGGCTAAATAGCTTCACTGCAAATCCTTCATCAGACATCAGCTCACCAAGCTGGCTGATTCCTTAAAAATAGCAGAAAAATTGGTGGAAAATAGCATCTCGCTCTAGTAATTAGTTTGCTTTGTTATGGAAGAAAGTGCCGTTGAGTGGTTTAAAGACTGCCAGAAGGTCCCATCTGTTCAAGAAGCACAGAGATGAAGTGGTGGGCTGATGTAGGAGTGGGCAAGGGATACCACAGATTTATATTTTCAGTCTATTTGTATTTTGCATCTGAGTGGTGCCCTTGTGAAATTCCTTTTACATTGCAATGAAGTTGCAGCCATCAGTAATGAGCAGAGAAATGAGAAGTTAGAAGTCCTGTGCCACAGGGCGATGGCTTTGAGGAAGCTGCATGGGTCCCACTGCAGTGAAGAATGGTTTGAAGTGAAGCATCGTCCAGCTCCAGCACTTCTGCAGGGCCACTTCACCTACATTTTTACGTGTAGCTCTATGTTGGGCTGTTTCATGCAAAGAGAGAAGTTAAGTGAAGAACAACTAAGAGCCAAGGAACTGATCATTTTTAGGGCTGTTATCCTGTTCTGATTGTCACTCTTGGTGACTCATTTCCCCCTTAGTTCACATGTTATTGACCCATTATTAGTCCATCAAATTTGCTGATGGACCATCTTCTGTGACCCCCTCCCAACCCACTTCACATAAAATGAGCCAGGTTAACGTAAGCGTGGCGAGCACGAAGTCTCCCACTTTGCCGTGCCACCGAGCTGAGACTGGGGGGTCCTCAGGCAAGCAGGCAGATTTGGAAGGATGGCAGGCTTGGGCTGTGATATATAAAAGTAGTCTTACGTAGAAATGGCCAGGCTGTCGAGATGCGTTGGAGGGGGACAGAGCCAGTTAGGGTTCTTGAAGGGTGGTATAAATAAGCTGAAGGGGAGAGTCATTCATTATCCTCAAAAGGATAACAGTTGGAAGAAGGGGATGAAATTGAG